GCTGAAAGGAGCTGAAAATGTGTCAAATGAGCTGAAAGAGGCTGAAAATAGCTGAGATGATCAGAAAGAAGTTGCTGAAGGAAGTTTTAATAGGCACAAAGAAGCAGAAGAAAAGCTCAAATGAGCAGTGAAAGGTTTGAAACAACACAAAGGAGCTCCTCACCTGGTCTCTGGCTGATCCCGACCACCCCGAGAAGGAAGCTCATTTCGGCTGCTTGTCTCCAGGATCCTGTTCTTTCAGTCATGATCCAAACCTCATGACCAAAGAGGAGGATTGGAACAAAGACAGACCAGTAAATCCAGAGCTTTGTCTTTCATCAGCTCTTTCTTCACCACAGCAGACCAAAGCAACAGCCTCATTACTGAGGCTGAGGCCCCAACTCATCAGTCTGTCCCCACTCTATCGGTGGTCTTTTATTGTGGACACACTTGCACAAATCGGTGAACAATTTTTGAGAGAAATATATATTTTGTGTTCGTAGAAAAAGTTTTAGGTGTTTGAGTTCAACTCGTGAAAAATGGGAGTAAAAACTAAAAGTGTTGAGTTTTTATTTTAGTTCAGTTTATCTGAGATGTTGAATAAAAACACTAAAAGATTCAAATAAACCAAATTAATTTAAATCTCTGTGAAAACAAGTTAAATATTAACTGAACGCTTCTGTTGAAACTCAACACCACTTGTTTTTGTTCAGCGCGTCGGCCATGTTGGATTCACCGAGTTCTGTTTTTGTGGTTTTTCTATAAATAAATCAAGATTTTAAAGGAAGCGTCAGATCAAAGGCAGCTCAGCACGTGCCACCTGTGTTCCAGCTTTAATCCCGTGTGGCCACACTCTGACCTCAATCTGTATGTCGGAGCAGATTAGTAACTCGGCGTGGGATTGGCCGGTTCGCAGAGAGATTATCAAAGGCCGCACGTGATTGGACGGCTGCTTGATTGTTAACGAGACGTCAGACTGCAGCTGCCGACCGCCGAGGCTCCAGCTGCTGCTCAACGCTCGGCCTTCTTCTTTCTTCTTCTTCTTTTTTAACAAATAGAACCAAACCTCTTATTTTGAAGAGCTTGTTGCTCCGCTGTTAGCTGAGGAAATATTATATCATGAAAATAAATTGAATAAACTTGTATTATATTCAAAGACTGTTATTTAAATATTCCAGAAACGGCTCGAATCGTTTCATCCAAAGATGACGGTATGTGTGAAAAGTCATCAGTTCATGCTGTGTAATGTTAAACGTGACGATATATTAAAAACTAAAAAAACTCCTGTTGTTAATTTCCATTGAAATAGTTCATTCGGTACTTCTCTTATAAAGACGTTAGAATGTTACAGGATGTCTCTGTTAGATGTGACTCTCAGCTACTACCACTCTCAATTTTAGCTCAGTGCCTGGACAATTAACTGAATTAGATCCTTTAAAGGCCAAGAAACTATTATAGTTTTGCTGAAATTAAACCCATATTTCAGTCATTTAGTCTCTTGTTTATACAGTAAAACACCTCACCTGTGTATTTCTATACCTCACCTGTGTATTTCTATACCTCACCTGTGTATTTGTACATGTGTGTTTAGGTACTGGCCACGGGTCTGTCCGGTCTGTACTCGTCTCTTCCAGCCAAGCTGCAGGTTTACAGTGAAGACTGGCACTGCCTGGAAGCAGCTGACTGGCAGCAGGTAACAATGTTCACACACCAGGAGGTCCATCACTGGTATTCTGTGTTCAGTTGTCTGATGGACCACTGAAACCACTGAGGCTGATGGTCACAGAACCAAAGGTTCACCACAGTTACCTGGTGCACCCAGTTTTAAAGTCATTCCATACTGAAGATGTTTGCATATTTCTGTATATGCATTATATA